GCATATTAGGATATGCCCATTAATTACAAGTTTGTATAGGTTTTTTCCAACAAGTCTTTGCCTCATTTGATGATTGGATGGTATGTTTTTTTTGAGTAAACAGCTGTCTAATGTTTGGGTTTTCCTCATCATTCATTTATGGATCCATGTATAACTTCTGCTCACTGTATTCAAGCCTTGCTATGAATGCTAAGTAGGATTTCATCACAGTGTCTTCGGTTTGCAAATATTAATTGTACTGTTTTCATATTGTGTTTGCCACATAGATCTGGTTATCTCTATTTATATGTGGGCACATGATTCTTCAAAATGAAACTCAAATCGTCAACCAGTTTTGAGTGTACAGTTGGATACTCTGGGGCCCAGTATCTCAGAATACTTGGTGCTTGATAACAGTCCTTTACTTGGAGATCAGAGCACCTACTGACTGTAGCTGCTGCTCCACGTGCTTATAAATACTGTAAATCAAACTTCAGATGTGTAGCACTGTGATTCTGAAAAGTGGGGAACCTGCAACTCATAATTACCTGTGAACATCTCAGTTTAAGGCACCTGTTCATTTTCTTTCACAGAAGGACTCTGTGGCAGGGACAGAGTTTGATTCTCCAGTATGTCAATCAGCTGCAATTCTTGCAAGCTTGTCCTTGTTCCCTCACATTTCTAGCTTTGTCCAGAAGTAAAACAGAGGCATTGGGCACAACAAAACATCCACCTGACTTACATGCAGAGTACAGTATAACCTCTTCAACCTTTATTTCAGCAGTTCTTAACTTTTGGATACTTAACTTTGTGATCTTTATGCCCTTTTAATGCAAAGGTCTGGTTGATTTTTTAAATTACAATCTCTTAAAGGTTCCAAGTCTTAATAATTTGAACTGATGCATTAATTAATGAACTGATTTGCAGATTCCCCAAAATGTAATTGCACTTGGGGAGTAAACAGCTGTAAAAAGGCTGAGGGCTAGATGCTGAGTTTTCTAATGTAAAGCTAAATGACTGAGTTGAAGCTTTAATGGGAAAATAGCACTCAGCCTTAACTACCTTAATTACAGCCTTACCTACAGCTACTGCCTTCACCGCAGCCTTAACTACCCCCTGCTACTGGAACTGTTTTGTCAGTCTCTCCATCTTTCTCTTCTGTGGAATCTATGGCTGTCACTTTCTCTTCTTGGAATGCCAGTGTCCTACTCCTGAATTCCCTTTATCTATATTGCTACTCCTCTGGTGTTCCCCTTCATCTCAACCCTTTGCTACTCAGCATGGGGGAAGGCACAGGCAGCCTTTTGCTCTAGTGGTAAATTCTGCCTCTGAAAGCCAGCTTGGAGATGATGATTAACAGGGGGAAAGAAGGAATCCAGCATTGAGCAACAGCAAAAACAGCTAGATGGGGGAGGACTTCAGTGCAACTGTACAACCTCCTGTATCAAGGTAACTTCATGCATAAGAAAAACAGAGGAAAGGAGACTTCTTCTTGTTCCTCCCTCTGCAGAAGCTCTACCTGTATCTGTGAGGCCTAAAGAATGGCACGCAAAGCTTTTCTCCTTCCCCAAATAGTACCATCTTAAGGTGTGGGATCAAAGGACTGAAGCCTGGGTCCTTTGATGGGACATCTTTGATGGGACTTAGGAACCTATCAGGCAGTGTAACATAGGATTTGTCACACTGTGGAGTAGGATCACGCAGCTTTTCTCTGTCCTTCTTGATCAGTCAACTGCTTCTCTGGCAAAGCAGTTACTGTGTATTCCCAGATATACCTTAATGTGCACAGTTGATTTGTGTGGGCGCAGTAGATTTTTGTGTGCACAGTGCAGGGCTCTCTTACCTACATAATGAGACCTGTAAGTCACGGGCACATCACATCTGCACTGAAGATATGGCCCTGGTTGTCTCAGATCTACTGTAGCTGCACAATATCTTGATGTGCACAGATCAAGAACTACTTTTCTAGTTTCTCAGATGAAATTCAGGATAGATACATCAACGATATATACATCTGTTTCTGAATGCCTGACTTAACTGGCCAGAGCTGTCCTGGATTTCACCGTTGCACTCTGGTTTAAATCCCATGTAAATGCTTTGCTAAGGTCCCCCAAGATTCTTAAGATTACTGTGTCCTGGAGTCACAGCTGTGAATGACCATTCAGAGAGCCCTTCCTGCCCCAGGCTGACTAGCCTTGGAAAATCCACATCACCCTGGTAATAAACACTGCCAACATCGCTGCTTTTTTTTGCAGCAGTACCCGCAGGCAGCAACTGTTTCTTGATCTTGCTGAGCAATATACTTATTTGCTATCAAGGGCAGATTGTGGCTTTTGCTGCACAGAGATGTAGCAGAATGATGAGGAGGTGGCCTAGGGGAAGAGGCAGGGAATGTTGCTCTTGACACATCTATATTGAATAATTAGTAATAAGAGCCAAAGAAATATTCATGACTCTGTAGAAAGATAAATAGATTTTTGATTAAATTTGAGTTTTGTCTTTACAGCAGTTGAAGTTCTCTGTGATTGGTAGCATGGAAATTAGTTTTTTATGGATTCTGGCTGACTGGAGGAACCCTTTTAAAGCTGTTAGCCAAGATAATGCTCAGATATCTAGCTGGTGTGTGCTGGCGAGAATTCAGAATGGTAATGCCAGAAACCTGTGCTCTCTGGGCAGTTGCAGTGCAGTTGTTGAATGATCGAATCAATCCAACTTCTTCAAAGGATTTATTGTAACATTTTCTCCACCCAGTCCCCTAATTTTTGCAGAATTTTAGTGGTGTCTTTTAAGATACGTGGCAGATTCCACTGCACTTAAGCAGACCTCAGGAAGGTGAGTGCTTCAAGGGCATTTTCCTAGTGGGACACATAAATACATATGTACCCATCTTTCACAACATTTACATTCTTCTTTTCAAGGGTGTTTGCCGTGGCCTGAGGGTAAAAGGGATAGGGATGCGGCACCACACAAAAGGGTTCGGACTTGGTTGAAGGTCAAGGGTGCAATGCCACTTTATTAGGGGAAAACAGGGACTTATATAGGGTATGGGTAAGGGGAGGTTCCATAACTGGGGCGGAGCATGGGATTGACAACTCAGGGCAGACTGGTATTGGGGATGTGCCTGTGGTGAAGACTTTGGGGTATTGAAAAGAACGGGTATAGTGCAGCTATAAGTTTGCTATAAAGAAGCAAACTCACAGGAAACAATATATTTTGGGGGTTTGGGAAATGTACATAGTATTAAGCAATTCAGAGTCTCACTCTGGCCTCACTTTCTCTCTAGCTGCAAATCTCCCAAATCAGCCCCTGCTTAGTCAAGAAGCAACGATTTTATTATCATTACTGACTGCTTTAGCTTTATTTCATTATTGTTGCCACCACAGTCTTTGTTACTATGGAAGTTTTTGCCCCAAACAGCTAAAGCCTCACACAAATCTCAGTGAATTCATAGAAACTCTTGTGAGGTGTGAAAGCTGTGGTGGCATTACTCTTGCTTTAGTCAGAAGAATAGACTCAATGTCAGGTTCTGGTCACCTTTTTCAAACTGTGGCCAGCTGCAGCTTTTAAAAATGTTAAGTAACCTTGTCCACATGGTTGTCTGTGACAGAATTACCAAGATTACCAAGACAGCCCGGGTAGTCTGTCCTACGCACTAGATACAAGTCCATTCTTTCTGGTCTCACAGTGACTGACTCTAGCCAGCTCTCTGAGGGAAAGCTCCAGTTTTCATTGTCTATTTTGACTCTCAAACCGAGGTTTTTAAAATGTAGTCTAAACTAAGACACTACTGAGCAGACAGGCCTGGTTAGAATACCTGTGAATGCCCCACCTCTTAAATGGGGGCCTGGGGGCTGGGGAAAGAGGGGTATATTAAATATAGTATTAAACTTCTGAATTCCATCTTTCCTAAAGTTTGTGAGGGATCAACTGCTTTTCTCTCTCCTCACATAAACTTTGCTGTCAAGGTAGCTGCAGTCCCAAGTGTATCCTGAGTTTATTGTCATGCTCTGCCAAAAGCTGTGATACCAAATCAGGGCATTCCATGCCCATGGGATGATATTTTGCCAAAGGTTAAGTGTAGTGTGTATGGAAATTCAATTAATGGGCTGTCTCACTGGGCATTAATACAGCATCTTAGCACAAAACTAACCTCGCTGTGCTTCTGTTTTTCTCATTACTTTGTGAGACAGGTATTGCCCAACCATGATTGCATTTGTCACAAGAAACACATGCACAAATGAAGACAGGCTCAGGGGCTTCTGGGAGGTGTCAGTATAAACAATAGCGTGATTTGCACACAGGTTTCAGACAGTTTGCATCCCTTTTACTTGTCAAGTTACTTTAATGAAGGCTATAAAATAAATAGCCATGGCTATAATCTTCAAGAATTAAAATTATTACCTGGCAAGTTGAAGTAATTAACTCTTCTCAGCCAGGAATCAAACCAGAGATATATGGCTAGAAGGATGTGAAAAGAATATATTAACTCACTAGGTAATAGTGCTACTGTCCATCCTTTTTAGTTCTCTAAAAGACAAAAAAAAAAGACGTTGAAATCATGTACTGGCAGCTTTTGTGACCACTGGAGTAACTGAGAGTCATCTTAGAAGAAGAGGTACCAGACATGGTTTAGAAATGCATCTGTTTGGTCTGAAAATACTGTTCTGTCTTTTTTCCTATTAAAGACTGTGCAGCATGAGCCTTCCTTCTAATTAGATACAAGGCCAAGTTAAAGAGTGGGATTAGAGGGCTGGAATTCTATATAGTTACAGAATATGCTTGGTCTTCTCATCATTCCTCACTGAAAAGAAATTCATAGTAGGGCCACAGAATTTTAAATTATGCTAGTTCTTGACCATTTTCTGAGTTTGTTAGAAATGTGTTCTTGTTGAGGTAAGGAAAACATGCTTGTTTGCATACTTGTATTCTGTACAAGCAAGCCAGTCATGATTCTGCTAAACAAAATGGAAATGCACATGACCATAAATACCATACTCATTTGACTGTATTTTGTATTTCAGATCACCACATTATGCTTGTCCTGAAGTCATCCGGGTAAGTTGGTTAACATTAGTGTTTATAAATATATTTTTGAAGTGTCACTCATTGCAAGTATGCAGATAGACCCTCTATACAAGAAACCTATCCAAGGCAGATGGCACTGGAAGGACACAAGGAGCGTAAGGCTCATCCCTGAATCAAGCCACATTAACTGTATGAGGGAAATAATTGTGTGTTATTCTCACAGTACCCTTTGTACTGTGTGATCAGACAGAAATGCAGGAGCCTCCTTTAATTTGATCTTTCAACCCAAGGGATGTAGTCCCCTCTGCTTTCCTGTCTCTTATGTAGCTGTCATTTCAGTAGAAGAGCCAGGGTTGACTGTCAGTGATGTTGGTTTCCACTAAACAATACAAACTGTTCTTTCCCTCTGCTCTCCCTTTGTCCTCTGAAAATAAGTATCTAAGATTTCAGTGGCCAAGATTGCCCTCCTCTTAAGCTTGTCTTTAATGTAAAGTCAAGCAGGAAGCATACAGAAGAGACTGTCCAGACAGTACTATGAGTTCACAAATAATGTGACTGGTGACAAGCTCCCTGAAGAACCAGGGAAGAGAAAAACACCTTCTTGATGTCCTTAATGCACCTCTGACACTGTTAAAATATCAACTTTGATAATTTGTGAGTTGTCAACCATTCCTGCCCTGCTCCCTGCTTCTGAGCCTTTTCCCACAGATCCCAGATATGACTGTAAACTGACGTTAACAAAAATTCAATTAGCGGGCTGTGTAATGTCCTCCTAGTTGGGAAGGCCGCCTTGGGAAGCAGGTGGCTGAATTGAAATATGGGGTTTCCTAGTCTCCCCTCTCTTGTTCTTCAAGGATAATTAATTCATTTACTAGTGATCAGTCTTTTGAACCTCTGTGTCATTGCTGCACAGGGAGAAAAATATGATGGAAGGAAAGCAGACGTCTGGAGCTGCGGAGTCATTTTATTTGCGTTGCTAGTGGTGAGTCATCTTCCTTGCACTAGCCTTTAAAAAGAAAAGAAAAATTTGAAAGTGCTGCTGTATTTAAGGGCAATTCTATTGACATCACGTACAGGTGGTTTTTTATAGTTCCCCTATTTTTGTATCTCTCAGTGGCATCCTGTCCTCTTATTTCTACATCAGCCCCAAAGGAAAAGCATAAGAAGTATTTCACTGCTTCTTTGAAATGCTGCTGCCCTGCACAGAAGAGCATAGACAGGCATCGAAAACTTGTCTCCATAAATGCTCTTTGCTGTGTTGTGATGTTGCGGCATGTTTTTTTGTCTGGAAAGGATGTAGAGGGTTACAACTCCAGGATACAGAGAATGTCCAATAAGTCATCCTTCACAGCATCAAAATATGGCTGGGTTTGCATTCGTTTTTTCTGCTGTATATGTACATGTGTTTCAGGTATATGCATACATTAACTGCAGTGTTTTTCCAAGGGAAGGTTTGAGTGCCACAACTTTGTTTCATGCACACAGTGAGATACATTTTAATTTGGTACACTTGAGAATATAAAACTGAGCCAGTAGTACAGAGTTTAAATTAGTTTCCATCTGGCTCAGTAATACTTTTAGTGTTCAAAATATGGTATCTGGTAACTTATCCTTCTTTAGAACAAAGTTTCAATTCTCAGTACCATTTATTCTGATTTGCAGTGCTGTTATAATACTCCTAAACATACAACAACTGAATGTCCAGCTGAAGGCAGATAGGCTTGGCATTTGTTACCAATTTCCATAGTCTAATGTAAGAAAACATATTTTATGTTAATAAAAGCATATACCACGTGCAGATAGAATATGGCATGATATTCTGTATGAATATAGGGTTTATGTGCATGTTAAGCATTTTATATTTGTAATAGTTCAGCTGATCATCTGTAATTATAAAAGTAACAAGCCTGAAGTAAAATTCTGATATTCTTTTACATTTATCAGTAAACCTAATTGCTTCACTTAAATGTTTTATTTTGACAAAAGCATTTGTACAGTGTAAAATCAGAGATAGATTCTGCATATTATTTTTGTTTAAAATACTTTAAAATTTTAAAATATTTTTGTTTCAAAAAACATGCCAATTCTTTTTTAATGGCCTGAATCAAAATACCTTGAAATAATCTCAGTATGATGCTTTAATTCCCCTTAACCAATCTTACTCTTTTTTTTTCTTTTTAGCCATTACAATTCACTGACATTTCTGAAGTTTTAAATTTTTTATCTTGATGCTGCATGGGAAGAATTTTAACTGTCACACTAGGCAGCACCCGGTCATCTCTTACTGAGCAGCTACTTTCATAACTGTAAAATAGAACTGTATAATGAGCTCTTAATATAACTTCTTGAATTTCTAAGAACAGAAGAGAGAATGTGTCAAGATGGTTAGGATTTGTAGGAGTGGGCTTTTCATTTTCAGGGGGATTCTCTGTCAAGATTTCATGTCTCTGTTGCTGCATCTTCGTCTGGTCCTACATACACACATGAGCCTGAAAAATGATTGAAATAAGTCTGTTAATGATGGAGAGCCCAGAGCTCTCCAGTCAATCATGTCAGGAAGAACCCTACAAAAAGTCTCAAGATATAATAGCAGATGGTAGTAATAAAAAAGGTGTAGTTGTTACCTTCAGGAAATGCCACAAAGCATCCTTTCTGACTTCATCGTGGCTTAAATTGCGTTAGCCGAAGTACTGAACTATCAGAATTGATTTTCCTTTAAGTCTGCAATGGTTAGGAAAAGCGTAGGTAACTCAGGAGGTTGGTTACAGCAGAACAGGGAGGCTCTCCCTGCAAGGCCACCTGAAAGAACAAATGCTAGTAAATAGTGCCCAGTAGTGGTTGCCATCAGGTGACTTCCTGAGGCTGCTGTAAATGGAGCTGTTGGTCTCCCTAAACTGTAGACACAGGATTGCTTATACAGATGCACTACTCACTGTAGTAAGAGCAGTGCCAGAACTGACAACTTGAAGCTTCATTATCGCAGCAGCTGACAGCTTGCAGCTTCCCACAAACCATCCTGGAAATCAAGGAAGCTCAGCACCTACTAGAATTAGGCAGTGAAAGAAGGAAGTGAGAATATCTAGGAAGGTGCAGACTTGCTATAAAAGGGTATCAACTGCAGTCAGTGGAGTTATCCTAAAGATTTCAACTTCTCTTTTTCCTTTTTGTCCTTGCAGCAAGGATAGGTGTTTTACTGCTTTTTGTGGCAAGCTGATGATCTATTCACAATGTAGTTTCAGCTAAAAAAACCTCAAGCCATTCATGTAAGTGAGCTACAGTAGGGAAGCAATAGGAACTGATGACCTGACCACAGCATGGGAACTGGATGGAGTATATTAAACAGGTAGAATATCTGCTGCTTCCAAAGGCTGCTGTTGGTTGGGGTTTCTTTCAGCTGTGTCATTTCAATGCTCCATCAGAAAGGGCATGTTCTCTGCTGAAAGTCTCTCCAAAGCTGTTCACCTCCTTTTCAATGTCTGCAATAAATGTGTCTTAGGAAGATTAAAAATAAGGAGACGATAAACATTGCTGCTGTGAAAGTATGCCCAGGAGGAATACCAGCAGATCAAAAGCTTGAGCTGAATTTAAGTGAATCCATGCATCTTTGGTGAATTTGCCTGGAAAGGCAATTTCATATTTTGTACTTTATTTTATACTGGTAGTCATTTTCTAATTAAAGTCTAATAAAAAAAATCTGTCCTCAGTTTTGTTTCTATGTTAGAGGAAATACAGCAGCACTAAGAAGTTACTTATTTTCAACAGATAGAAGTTTTTTTCACTTACTATACTAATTCATTATAAGCTGACTTACTCACTTCCATTCTCTCACTGTGTTTATTGTGGTTTTTCTCCTTTGGCCCTCTCCAATTCTCTGCCACTGACCACTCCGTCATATCCCCGCAGGGTGCCCTGCCTTTCGATGATGACAACTTGCGGCAACTGCTGGAGAAGGTGAAACGTGGAGTGTTCCACATGCCACATTTTATCCCACCTGACTGTCAGAACCTTTTGCGGGGGATGATTGAAGTGGATGCCTCGAAACGTCTCACGGTAAGAAAGTATTTGGTGCTGATGGTACGAGCAAGGTTTCATTTCTCATCTTGTTGCAGTTATGGTTGAACAGCTAAGATAACTTGTTGATTTACTGCCATTCCTGTGAGTTTCCTTCTGATCAAAAGAGTGAGTAGAGTTGTTGGAGTCCTTACGAAGAAATTAGTTACCTTCTCTTTTGAGTCATGAGCACAGATTGCCTTTGTGTTTTTTCTCTAGCCTCATAATTCCCTTCCATATGTAGCACTGGGCGTTTAGAAGAAATCCCTCACAACATCATCACAGAGCTACTGACGCCTTAGCACATTTTGGAGTCCACCTGAGTTGTCTGGTTCTTCTGGCTGGTACAGCAGTTTGTTGGGAGTGTGAGAGACCTGTTTGACGGTCACAGCTGTTAGAACTGTTACTTGAAGCTTTGCTACTAAACAGTATGATTTTCTTACATTTCTGACAGAAGTATTGGCTTCTCACCTCATGCTGTGCAAGCTTCATTGTATTCTATCCTGTATTTGCTCTGCACTGTCCTCTAGCAGCCTTCAGAGCAAGTGTCTGCCTGTCTGCTCTTTCATCTTGTGCCTTGTGGTCCTGAGCACTGTTAGGCCCACAGTGTTGAGCTCCTGGTGTTCAGCACTGAGTTTGCATTTAGGATGCATCCCATCACTACAACAGAGGCCTTGAAAGGGCGAGGACTGTGTAGTGATTGTATCCTTCATTAACACTGTGTTAATGTTTCAGGGAATTTTAAAAATTAGCAATTAAAATAATTTTGGAAACTAAGATTGCCTGCTTGTCAGTGGAGGCGTCTGCCTTTATGGGTACATTGCCCTTGTAAATCCTATTGTCAGGCCGTGGTGATGATTTTATACAGATTTACTAAGCTCACAGATTCTGAGTGGGAGTATGTATAAAGAAATGTAAATTTAAAACTCCTCCTGGTTCTTCAGTCTGCTAAAATATTTATAAATAAACTCTCAGATCACAGGTTGGCCTCTGCTGAGATTGCTAACAACAGCATCAATCTGTGCCAGCTGTGATGGTGCTTTTGGGATGCAGACACCTGTCTGCTAAGAAGTGAACTGAAACTCCCTTCACAAGTCTCTTTACAGTATTACCTGACAGCTGGGCTTTTCTTTCATTCATTACGAAACCAGGTCATGCTGTATTTGGTGACGCAGGTGAAAAGTTCTTCATGTTGTTACTAGTATCCCTACTTTTGCAAACCCAGTAGCCATCACATTTGCAGTATATTAATAGCACTGATTGAAAAAAAAATCTTAAGCATAGAAAAATTTTAAGCATAAAACAGATTTTTAAAGAAAGAAATTACTTTTTCCCAAGTACTTTCATGGAAAGAACACTGCAGAAGTTAGGGCTATACCCTGAGACATGAGACAGCTGTTCTTCATGGCCAAGAATGTCACCGTGTCCCTCTCGAGCTTAGCTTCCTTTCCATGTTGTAAACATTTCAGTTTTTCTGCTGTTTTGTCATTGTCGGTTTTTTTTCAAAGATATTAGTGCTGATGAACTAAGTCTGCTAGGAAGGAGATCATCAAATGTTCAGATTGTTTTGAGTTTTTCCATAGACCAGAGACAGACTCTAAATGTTTTAAATTGTGCAATACATCAGAGAATGTACACACATAGGAGAGAAAGCAGTTAAGGTAAACCAAGGTCCCAGAGTGACACCCGTCCCCCCTCCTTTTCTTGATGAAAATTAACCTCTTACTTCCTTGGGGAGAAAAAAATGCCAGATCTGATAGTTATTGGAAAGCTCTAACCAGTGAATTATGAATAAGAATTTGAAATAATACATATTCAAGAACCAAGACCTGGGAGGAAAAAGGTTAGCTCTTTGTTATTAGCTGCAGTCTTATTTTCATTATGTGAGGGTCTCTCAGTTTACTGTCCCTGCTGCTGTCACACCTCTGTGCTGTTATTGAGCTACTTGCTTCGATTGCCAGGCAGAAGGGAGCTCTTTGTTTCCTGCACAGGAGCTGGGAATGTAGAGTTCATTCTGAGGAGAGATCTGAACTATATTTTAGCTGTGTCCTGTGAAAAAGGGTATTAATATGGGTTTATTTGGAAGCCTCTATTCCTGGAAAATATATTTCTTGAATCAAATTGATATTTATACAAAGATCTGAGCAAAATTGCAGCTTGGGTGCAATAAGTACAGATGTAGCTGTTACCATTACTGATCATTTGCTCAGTATCTCACTGGTGAATTCAGCAGAAAATACAGTGAAATGTAAGGTCACCAGAATTTTTGTCTTTCATTTTTCACTTCCCCTCTCTGCTTTGTTCCTTTTTTTTTATTCGTATCTCTTTTCCTTTTCATCCAACTGCATTTCCCTCCCTGCAGTAATTGCCATTTCACAGCACACCCACACCTTCCCCAGTCCATCTGTTAAAATGATCAACAAAAACAGAACCAGGATTCACGTTTAACTGTCATCATTCGCTTCAGTGTTAAAGCTTGAGAAGATTAATGGAGGGGAGGGTTCTCAGAACTATTGTTGCTGGCCCTTTCCAGCCTTAAGAAATAGGCATTACCTTTCTTTGTATATGATTCATTTATGGAAAGAAGACTTTGCTATGTCTTAGTGGAATATTGTTCACACTCACCATGTATTACATAGCTTCAAATATGGTTAGTGGAACGTCCTTGACCACTCTCATTTACTGGGCCTGTTTTACTGAACATGCTTTAAAATAAGAGAATCCATGTTTTTCTTTCATTAAGCTGCAAAAGTTGATCCTAGCTGCTGGTCATATTTCTGACCACTCATATTCATGAAAGATGAAATCAAAGAGTGAATACTAAGGTGATCAGCGTTTGAGTGAGCCTGTCTGAAAAGCATGGCCTAAAAGGGCTTCAGCTAGCCTACACAGATGATGTCTAAGAAAGGTTGTGCCGCTCATCTGCATATTCCTGAGAGGTAATTACTAGGCAGAGAAGGATTATTTAAACTAAAGAAGATACTGATACAAAACCAAATGTATGTCAAATGGCCTTACAGAAAAGTAGGCTAGAAACTAGAAGCAGCATTTTAGCCATATCAGCGGGGTTCTGGGACAGCTTTCTAGTAGGAATAGTGTCAGGAAGGAAAAGTGAACTAGTAATAAAGTTTGAGAAGGTTTGTGGAAGGTGTGCTCTGGGTGCCTGAAGTACTGCAGGATGAGCTTTCTTTTAGTTATGTGCACTTCAGAAAGCAAATGGTTTTTTCCTTGGAGATTTCAAATGATTCAGTGTCTCTGCAGCAGAGAGTTACAGCTCCTGTAGTGGAAACTATTTGCATTCTCAACCAGTGTTTTCTTCTACAGAAACACAAAAGCAAAGGGCAGAGAGTAAGGAGCTTTTGGTCTATTTTCCTTTTAAAGATGGATGAGCATTATCAAAACTTTGTCTCTAGAGCAAGGTGGATCAGAGCAGATACTGAAGAATTGACAAAGCTGTTATTGTTCTAGTGCTGACATTTTATACTAGAGTAGAATGACTTGTCTTCCATGTTGGGTGTCCACATAGTCTGAAATACCTGTCCCTGAATATTACCCAACTTAAATTACACATATTTTCAGAATCTCCTCTCTGTTCTCTACTTTTGTTTTTTGTTGGGTCTAACATGTGTTAATGATGGACTACAACATCTAAAGAATGTTACAAAAATGAACAAGGGACAACTCACCTGATTCCTTCTTCATTTTTCTAGAAGGTCTTATGGTAAGGTGCCTATCACATCATTTAAATTATCTCACTTCACAAGCTGTAGAATGGAGGTTATTGCCTAGTTGATGTATTTAGGCTGTAAGGTTTTGGCTGACAAGGATCTATTCATGCACTGTGCAGGTAGGATAGTGATTCTTGCCCTTGTCAAGGTCCCTGGAGGCTGCTATAGTACAGCTGCTACTGCTGACACAGATAATGGTTTTGCCAGTGCTGTTTGCAGCACCAGCTTGAATCCTGTGGTCAGGAAAAGCCTCTATCTTAGCATTACACAGTCAGTTTAAAATTCAAACTACAGGATCTTCTGAATGAAGAAGATTCATTTGAAGTGTGGGTTGATTTGGGGCACAGATGGGTTTGAGATTGTTCCCTTTCTGGACAGGGAATTTTGAAATTTGACATGAGTTCAAGGCCAGAAGGCCTCATTTATATCCGCAGACTTTTGAGAAAGTTTTTCTTCAGGTCAGAACTTTTTAGCTTGGCAACCGCTCTGCTGAGATCAGTGCCGAGGATGTAGACAGCGCGGTCTTGTTTTCCATCTGCCTGTCTGTCTCCATCTGTTGTTCCCTGCCTTAGAATTCAGACGTAAGCTCCTTGTGGGAGGAGACCTCTTTTTCTGATGAGCTTGTAGAGCTCTGTATCACAGTGGGTCTTTCACCTGTGAGTGGGGCTCTTCAGTGTACAAGTTTAATGTATATTGGAAGTATTTTTATGTAAAACCATGATAAAGGAATTCTCCCTCTCCTTCCATTACAGCATTTTAGCTTGCAGCAATCTCTCCTCTGACTGTGCATGTGCAGTGGATCTAAGCGTGTTTTGTTGTTTCAGAGATGACATCATGAGACAATTGCCTGCAGTGACTAGGAGATATTAGGAAGCAGCGTTTTAACAACTTCCATAAAATGGCATTAAACTTGGCAAACTCATGGGCAAACAGCAAGAAGAACCCTCTGGGAAGGGTTATTAAATGCCTTCGTCACTTAAATGCATTTAAACATTGTGTTTAAATGAAGGCAGGAGGAGTGAGATTAGCTCCCACTGTGTATCTCCCTCCCCTGCACTGCATAGTAAAAAGCATACAGACTTCTCCTTGTCAAAACCAATTGCCCTCCCATAAACCTCCTGTCACTTTAATGCAGATGAAAAGCAACAAAGCATTAATTAATTACCTTTAAAACAGTAGTGAAAATGTTGGCAGCAGCAAGCACACTTGTAATAACATTTCAATGCAATTACGTTTTAATCAGCATAGAAAATGGATTTGTAGAATACTTTTCATATCTGGGATATCCCAGCATACTTCACAGCAATGGTTTTGATGTGGATTGAATGGCAGATATGTAGGTAAACAGCAACCATGAGAGCTGTCATAGACCTTCCAATGTATATCAAGGTACTACAGGGCTTCTCTTTCAGAAAAATAGCTATGGGTTCGTTAGCTTGAAGGAGGTTGATCAACAGGGATGAGCAGAAGGGATTTCTGTGACATCTTCTCTGAAGGAGCCCAGAGGTTCTGTGACTGAGACATGAACTGGTGACCCTCTTTTATTCCCCCTCTCTGACTCAGAAAGTGAAGTGCTGTTGTCTGCTTTGGCATGTCATTTCCACATATCACAGGCACACAAGAACACCGTGACCCATGGAGACAGAAAATGCAGCAGGAGAAGCAAGCATGAAAGAGGCTTGGACATCATGTAGCTGTATCATCTGCATGTTGTCTGAAATCATTAATGTCTCTAACCCTCTGTGTGCTGTATAGGAAATAACAAGTAGATATGCATCTCTTAGGCTGGTTTACCAAGCACAGGAGGTACAGTACACTCCTTAGCAGATCCTCACAGAACTATAGACCTGATAAGTGACAATGCTAAAATTCTGTCCCATGGAAGCTGTACAAAATAGGCTCTTCTTATGTTCTGTGGTTGTACCTCAGCTTCCAAAGAACCATAAGAGGGCTGCGTCTCCAGGCTTTTAGGGTAACTCTCATAATGCATAGCTTTATCTTGACAGGAGATGGCAGTGTGTCAGGAATACTCCACCTTGGTCATAATAGTGCAGGGATGAAAGGACTACCTAATGCAAGGGGAATTGTGATGAAGAGAAATAATGTGACAGAGCTGAGGCCGCAGCTGGAAACTGTGCAGGTCTGCCCAGGCTCGTGGATGTGTGTGCTGGGGGAAATTGGTGCTCTCAGCACCTGGGCTGGTTAGAAGACAGCTAGATATGCAAGTGCCAACTGCACCTCTGACTGCAGTGCTGATACAGTCTGGGTTTTAAAGAAGGCTGTTTGTCTCATACTCTCCCTCCAGCCTCCTATCATGTTTTCCTAAGCTGCATTCTTCTGTTGTTTTGCTTTCAGGAAGAAGCCCTGTCTCACTTAGAAAAAATTATCTCATATAGAGCCAAACTCACATCTTCCTGGTTTCTCAGATGTGGAGCTGTTGGTTCCATAGCACCAGGGCTCTGATTCCTTGCTGTCTGTGGCAGTCATCTACTTTGTATCTCTGAGATTTTGTTGTTTATCTGTTCCTCTTTTTTTTTTTCCCTCCGATTCCCATTATTCTCAAAGTGGAATGTAATAAGAGCAGGACAGCTCTCTCCATTCTTCCTGACCATTTTAATGGGTCTGTGATTTCATCTGATAGCTGTTAGCACTTGAGTTCCTCTCCTGCCTTTCACCTGCATGTTGCACAAATGCAAGCCTGTGTGCAGTGAGTGTGCATATTGTTCTGTGCATACAAAGGTGCTTCATAGTGATGAATATGAAAAATATTGTCCACATAAATAATCCTTGGACATCTATGAAAAGTTCTTTTCTGCTGTGATTATGATTAAAACACAACATATTAGGAATGTTCTACTGTAAGTATGTCGTATGAACCTCCCGTTCTCTCTGCTGTTAAGGGTTTCTCTTGGAAAAAGCATGTTGCTTTCTTTTCCCCACACTCGTGGGAAAACATCGTCATCGTGTAACGTTTGCTGGGATCTGCCTTCCATAGATGGACAAGGCCACTGTTCAGCTTTGATCAGTCCTTCATTGCATGGTAAAATACTCATATGTGAAAGAGGAAAGTAAAATAAATTTGCAGACTGGTGTTCAGGTATGGGATCAGTAAATCACATGGAGCCTTAGTCTGCTTGGTCGTAAGGTTTTAATGATAAATGCAAAGCCAATCAAGAGTGGGTCCTGGCAAAAGTTCTCCTCACACGTGCACAAATTATTTTGTTTATTTACATTATCTGTTTGAACCTATTTTCTTCTTTCTATCTCTCTTTTTTTCCAAAACGAAACTAGAAATGAACTTTAAGTATAAAAAATTAACTCTTATGCACATTCAGAATGGAGCAGTTTGTTAGCTTTGGTTAAGTAATAGAGGGAAGGGAAAAACTTAAATTGCCAAAACACTTGCCTGTGAAGCCTCATAATTAGCATTTTCCTGGGATTTGCTCCCGACTGACCCATTATGTTTGGAATTATAGTCTCGTTTTCAGTGGGATGGGTGAGGATGAGCAGCTCTGGTATGCACAGATTCATCTCTGAAATGTTGAACTTACTTGAATAAGGATGTCTTGTGGAGTTACCTTTTCTGTTTTACAGCACTAATTCCTTGTTTTCTTTTCCTTTACAGTTAGAACATATTCAGAAACACATATGGTATATGTAAGTAACATTTTTTCAATTCATTTTTGTATGCATTCATTATTGGTTCTGATATTCAAATGATTTCTGAAGAGTGAGACTGGAGTCTGGAAGCAGGTTTCACCCGGGTGGGAAAAGGGGCAGAGGATAGAAAGACTTTTAATTTTTTTTTACCCTTTGCTACTCATATAATTTCTTCTATATATACCAGCCCAGGAACTTTTTTTGTACAGTGGCTAACAACTGTTTGAAATAGCACAGCAATTTGCTGTGTTAAAGAGATACCTGCAGGTGATCAGCAAAAAAAACCCCGCAACTAGCAGCCATATTTAGTTTGCTATCCAAGTGCTGCAGACAATCCCTTGTAATACCTTCTTGACAAGAAAACTTTCATTTGTTCTTTCTTGGCATCTTGGCTTTTCTCTGAAGTAGAAACAAAAATGATGATATTGGAAAGTAAGCACCTGTGAGCAAGAGCTTTTCTGTCTCATAATCCCTGCTCCTTCTTCATAGCAAGCTAAGAGGCTGCTTCTGACCTTGTAACCTGTTGATGCGAGAATAGTTCTGTGACTTGATTAAAAGCAGCAGTCCTGACAGTGAAACAGGAGGTCTGGGAGAAAAGTACACGCCTGTCTAGTGGTTTGGGTATAAGGAAGATTGATGGCTTTTAAAAGTGACCTTGCACTCTGTGTAGCTTTAATAGTATTTCAAGAAACCTAAGTAAATAACTTTTTTGTACTGATGATAACCTAATCAAACTAAAGAGACTACTTCACATATTAAACAAGGAAATGATGCTTTGATACATGTTTCTCAGGGTCAGCATTTCCCAAGTGGGTGGTAAGGGAAGTCCTACCTTCATAATCGTATCATTGCTCTTGAGAAATACTCAAGGATTATATGAACTGATGCATAAGCCTTTCACTAGTAAGAAAAAAAAAAACAACCACTTTTTTTTGTATTTGTTTTCTCTAATTCTATCTTATGGAAAATGTTCACCTCTGGATTTATTTTTAATAGAACCTGAGGGCCTTCAGTGGCTTGTTGAATAGCTAAGAAAACTTTTGAACTAAGAAAAAACTTAAGTTTACCTGTAATGGTGGCAGCACTCTGCCCATGGCTTTTTCGTGGTCTCTCCAATAACCAGACATGGCACCTTTTTAAACCAAAGAAGGGCACAAGTGTTGTTTGCAGCAGGTACTTTTTTTTTTAAACTCTCATGGATAAACGTAGAAGAAATGGAGGGGGAAAATCTCTAATTGTAATCTGTGAAATCTCTCCTATAATGTTTTACTAGCAATTCCAGAAGTAAATGCTGTTTACATCAGATTGGACAACTGATCCCCTCTGTTTCTTCCTGGAGTGAAATCAGCTGACTCTCTCTGTGCTTTAATCAGAACTGGAATAGGAAATAAAATGAAAATTTATTGATCACTTATATTATTATTCTAACCCTCCTCAAGATTTTTGCCTGGAAATTTTCACCTGTTGAAAGACTGTTGTCCCAGGCTCTCATGCACAATTACACCAGTATTATTTCATGACTTTATTCTGTATTTAGAATTTGAAGATTTTTTTTTTCTTTGCAGATATAAGCATTTGAAAATTTTCATGTACTTCTCAATGAAGGTCAGACTCTGTGATGATTGACACAGTAAACTGTGTCAAGGGAAATATCATCTGAGGCTGTTTTCAGAAGTAGAAACTGAGTTTTGCAAAAGCAAGTCTCCCCTAGACTCACAGCGTAGTCAGTGGAGAAAAGCTCTTCCACATGTCTCTTCAGAAGTTTCTGCTCAAAATAGCTTTTTTAATAAGTCTCTTTCTCATTTTCTCTATACTGGGCATGGATTGACCTCAGGAGTTTAACCTCCTGTGACTAATTTTAGTCAGTGAATAACCCTGCCACTTCCAAAACTCAGCTACTATCATCTGGTAATGTTTCACAGCCTCTTTGCATTCATTTTTCCTGGAAATACTGATGCTGACAGAGAAGGGGGGGGGGTTATAAGTGCTTTATTCTATGACTGTTTTACTCATCTCTTAAATTTTTTCCTTTATTTCATCTGCTATTCTATGTGAAATCTTCATCCTTTGTCATATATAGGTTACTGACCTGAAAGTTGTACTCAGAATATATAAGCAATTTCACTTAATTCTTCAAATAAATATTAAGGCTACTGTAAAACTGAGGAAAAGATTTAATTGCAGACCAAGAGAGACGGAGAAAGAGGTCTTGAAAGTTTAAATCATGATTCACAAGCCTAAAAAAGGAAAAAGAAATCAAAGTGAAACCTTTCATCAGCAACCTCCAGTTCTTCTTGCTCTCCCACCCAAATTAATTCAGTGAGGTTCTTCAAGCCTTTATAATTGAAATAACTTATTTTTACCTCAAACGTAGGTTATCATAAGCCAGAAAATAAACAGCAGTTATTCTCACATTTTTTTAATAAAGAAAGAGGGCAAGAATAAGTGTACTGGTTCTGCTTTGCTTTTGCACTGACGCAAATGGGCATCTCGGTGAGATTCATGAGAGAATTTCATGGAGAGATTGAAAAGGTCCACCCTCCTCAGGAATCACAGCCGTTGTATGCACCGATCCTCACAAAAAGGGGTGGGTTTTAAAGCAGCAATCGCATTCATGTGGGCCTTTAAAAAAGTATATGTGATTTGCTGTATTCATCGTGTGACATTGTTTGATGTCTGTGTGGGCTGAAATGCAACAAATTTGTCACTCTCTGCTAGACTGAGAATGGAACAGGCATTACAGTCATGCCAATCACAGCCCAGACCCAGTGATTTTTGTTTCCTGAAGCACTGAATTGCGTTGTCAAATGACGAGACGCCTCTTTGCAGATTTTACTTGTACCTGATGAGGAGATGTGAAAATTCCTGCCTATGTCTGAGGCTGACCAGGTGCAGAGCATAAGGACATGCCACTTTCCAGTGCGCAGAAGATGGCAAACTGTGTTGTCGTCTAGAAATGGCTCCCATGCCAATTGATGCAAAAGAAGCTTGCAAATTCTATTTTGCTGTGGACTAGGGTGACTAGTAGGAAACCCAGATTTTCTGGAAATTTTCAGAGACAATAATTATTTTTAATCTCTTTAAATTACCTTAAGGACATCTGCTTGTAACATAATGATTGATTAATTAAGTCAATACTTTTCAGAAGTGAATTGTAGATCACTGAAAACCAAAAACACTGGGCTGCTTTCAAAAGTCCATCCTGCAAGAATTTATCTTAATGACAAGGTCATTGCTGTCTTTAATAGTGCAAAGTTATGATCTAATCATTGCTTATTACCTGCTGAGAGCTAGATCCTGATTCTAAGCGGTAAGAGTAGTGATCTCTTACAAGGAATAAGATGTTTCTTTAGTTGAACAAAGATTTTTGAATCTAGCTCTTAGATTCAGGACCATGGTGGCGGTTTAGAAGACACAGACACTTCTGTGAGTCTCAAAGGGGGCATCAGAAGCTGTGTTTTAGTGGTTTGGTACACAAGAACGAATCCCAGGAAGCAGATTCTTTCTGTGTCCTGTATATTCTGCTTCCAGTCCCCAAAACTGAATAAAATTGAGAATGATGTGTCTGAGTGCCCACTGTAAGAGAAGTGGAATCTGACCCATGTCGTCACGGCCCACGTAATGTACACCACAGTCTGACTCCATGACATATATCCAGGAAGGGCTAAGCACATTTTCACTGCTTCAAGAGAAGATAAAACAAAAATTTCCAAGCAATCTTTTTGCAAGTGATGTCCCACAAACAGTTAACAGAGCAGATGCCTCATAACTGCATTTCAACTTGCTTAAAAACAAAATGCAAATAGCATCCAGCAATCTCCTGTAATTGCCCCAGCATGTAACTGTCCTATCTTGGCTGCTATGACTTAGTATTGCCTTCTTAACTTGGAGGAAATAATCTACATCGGCTCTCTTTTTGGCTGAAACCTCAAGCTCATACGTATGATCCTACCAGAGTTGCTTTCTAACTTACACAAGAAAAATTAAGGACATTTAAATTGGAACTTCTTTTTCTGTGTAGATATTTGGACAGCTCAAGATGTTAAGCTGTGCGAGTAACTTCACAAGTCGTGTCCACCTTATTTCTTCCAGCATCAGAAAGAATCCCCTGTCCAAACACGGACATTTGCTCCATAAATGGCAAATGCAGTTTAAATCTTTCTGATTCTTGTTTCCCACATGGGAGCCTGGACCCAGCGTGTGCCTGGACTCACACATTTGAATCACATAAAGGAAAGGGAGGACCCACAGAGCAGGGAAACTTTGACATTGCACAAGGCATCCATTGAGAAATAGCAAAGATTCAGGGTGGACTGTTTCTCCAGTGAAAACACCACCACCACCACCAAACCCACCTCTTGAGGTGGATAGAGTTTACATAAATTGCTTGCTGCCTATTAAAATAAAATCAAAGGATATTCAGAATGTCTGCAATATATGTCGTTAGGCAGTTATAATACCCTGACACCCTGACCTGTTTCTTACAGTCAGGGCCTCTAATTGCAATGAATAATCAATATTTCCTGAGCCTAGTGAATGGGATGAGATAATTGTGCAGAAAGCCTGCATTAAGTACATTTGAAAGAGTAAAATGTTCTGCTGCTAGTGTTGTGTTCTGAGGTCTGCCACTGACCGCGGGCACCACACTTGAGCCAGAATTTTCAAATCTGCATATCTGAAGAGAAGCAGAGATTGTCATATTTGGGCATGTAATTAAGCAGCCTTGTTTCCCCAAAAACCTTTTAAAGCGTGTCAAGTGGGAACCTGAACACTGAGATCTCTTAATCACATTAAAAGCATTAACTGCTGCAATGCCACTTGGAATCAGAATTGGTGAAAAATAGTGACGGTTTGTTCAGAGCTCCTTCTTTGAAAGAGAATCACTCAGCTTGCATTTTTCAGCCTGATAGTCTGAGGTCTGGCCTGCTGATGAGAGAGCATCTCTAAAACCACGTAGGGTTTTGTAAATGTTCAGCATTAGGATGCTGAACAGCTGCTTCTATTATAAGGGCACTGGTAAGTGAAGTTTCTTCTGCCTCCCTGACTGAATGCAGACATTTCTCGTTAGAGACCCAAATCCATAAGCTGCTGGTCAATCTTAGCCTTCACGACAGTTTCTTCTGAAAAAAAGTATCTGTCTGGTTGGGAGCTCTGGTCTCTCAGTGGGAATTTAGCAAGCTATTTCCATCTGTTGCTGCAGGCTGTGTTTCAGAGTATGGGTTCATTTGTGACTCATGTTTCTTTTCTCTCCTTCTTTCCCTCCCCCTTTCTCCCTCTCATCTTCTTTCCTCTGCAGAGGGGGTAAGAATGAGCCAGAACCAGAGCAACCAATCCCTCGAAAGGTGCAGATTCGTTCTCTCCCTTCCTTGGAGGATATTGATCCAGACGTGTTAGATAGCATGCACTCGTTAGGCTGCTTCCGCGACCGAAATAAACTCTTACAGGACTTGTTGTCGGAAGAGTAAGCACTTGCTCAGTCTTCATATCAGTTGGGTGTCCAGGGACTGGGATGCTAATAAAGTGGGGGAGAGGTAGAGAGCACTGTAACTGGTGTCTCTCTCTGTGAGTGACTGGTAGCAACTTCTCACCCTCTGGCTGCTCATTTGCTAGTGAGGTGTTGGGAGCAAGCACTGAGCCTTTCTTGCTCCATGGGTCAGAAGCTCACAGCCTGACCAGCAATGAAGGCATGGTGCTGTCTTTTCCCTTGCTGCCAGGCCAGGTCAATTCATTAAAAGATGGGCTGTACAGTCCAGACGGGGAGGTATCGTTGCTGTTATGTGTGTTGGATATGCCTTTGTTGGCAGATTTTTATTTATTTGAAGCCTATGCCTAAGAGCTGGTGTATTTCCTGAGGTGTTAAGAGGGACACATAGTAGAAAGAGCATTTAGAGGCTCAGACCTGTCTTGCTGCCACTATTGGTTTGGACTTCCCGTGGACACATTACCTTGTCTGTCCTGTGCCTCTGTTCTGTGTGCATAACATAGGAATCGTATTTCCTTTCCTCACTAGCTGCTTGTTGGAGACAGCAAGGGTCTCAAAAGCTTTGTGGGTTGTGTATCTTGCTGGCAGGTACATGACTATATCCAACTTATTTAGAATAACTGTAACTATTCATTTGATGAAAAGGGTTTATCTACGTGTTGATGTTTTTTTCTTTCCAAATGTAAAGATTCGTTTTCTTTTTTTTTTCAGGGAAAACCAAGAAAAAATGATTTATTTTCTTCTGCTTGACCGGAAGGAGAGGTATCCTAGTCATGAAGATGAGGATCTTCCCCCTAGAAATGAAATAGGTACTACAGATATGACCTCAGTCACCAAGAAGCCATATCAACTGGTTCTTCTTCACCTTTTTTTTTTAATTTTATTTTAATATAAACCCAAAGTCTAGCATCACTGTTACATCTCCACTGAAATGGTGTGAGAATCCTCAACCTAGGGAAGGCATGTCTGTTTCATGGTTGAAATCAAGGGCTTTTTTTCTCAGGACATGTCTGTCTCACAGTGCAGAAACATCCAAGTAGGTCTTGAATGAGACCCTAAAAAGTGTGCTGTGGACCCACAAGCTGTCTATATGCAAACAGATTCGGTTTAGGAGCAGTATAATTCTAGTGGCAGAATTTTCTAGTTACTAATCTACGTGCAGTATTGCAGAAATGCTGCTCATGGACTTCAGCCAATGAGACTGTGTAGCAGTGCATCTCTATGCAGTTACACATGTATACATGCTCTCTTCTGTAAATGAATACATACACTGTTGAAAATATGAATAATATCACTTAGCTATTTATAGTACAGAAATCAAACTCCCATGTTTTTAGACTTAGATTTTAAAAGTTTAACGTGTAGTAAGATTATACATCTTGTAAAGCTCTTGTGATACCACTTTATTTCTATTTATTCATTGATATTTTAGGGTGCTGCTGATCACCAAGGACTTCACTAATCAACAGGAAAAATGCTTCCCAAGGAGCTAACTATATAAGTGACTCTTGCTGTGCAGAGTGACAGAAGTTTAATAAAGGATTAGTCACTTCTAGCAATGATCTGAAATAGCATTTTTACATAGCAGTGTTGTGATTTTCAGGTATTGTATTTCAGCACTTTAAGACTAGAAGTAAAGTGCTGGGTTTTTTCCCTGGAAAGCCTGGAATCTTACAGGCCTACAGGGCAATGCTATATTGCACTGTAAATTTGTTAATGCTCCATTGAATTATTACCTTATCTGAGTTCCAGGCTCCAGGCCCTATAATTTTGCAGGAGAATCTCTTCTGTAAGAGAAGAGATAAAAGTTCTTAGTTAACACAGCAATTTTTAAACTCCTACCTCGATGGAGCTACAGAGAACATGTTAGTGGGGATCCTGATGAAGATGAGTAGATGTGCCGGCTGCAGGTCCTGTGGTCAAAAGCCCCTTGCTCAGTGCAGTTTGTCATCTAGCACTTTACTAATCAGCTTTTGACTCAAACAGATTATCCTGCCATGTAAGGACAGCATCATCTTGTTTTAGAAATGCTTTTGTCCTAAAAAAGAAGCAAGGTGACTCTAGAATCTTCATATCCAGCATGTAAGGGAATACGTAGCTATGCCCTAAATACATCATATATCTCTCTTCCACATGCCAAAGCATTTCCATGATTTGAACTACTATGCTCCACTCTTATGGTATTTTTGTAAAAGGAGTGAAAATGTTTCCTAAGAGGGAAACACTGCTCTGTATATATCATTGTGCCTCACCAGCACATTTGAGCTTTATTCTTTGAGTGTTTGTAGGTTGTATTTCTGCTTCCACAGGGGATTTCCACATCCTCTGTTCCCAGCAGTATCTCTGAGAACATGGGGCAAGGTTTAATTAGGAACAGTCATGTGTCTGATTAATATGTCATCATTAGCCATTAGCAATGGCCTTGCACAAACAAAGAAAAGCAGAGAAAAAGTAACGGATTTAATAATAGCAGCTTGAAGAAATCATGTTCATGAGAGTTGTGCATTGTCTGAGGTCTTGCCAAAAAACAACAAAGCATTTGAGAGTATTTTGCTTTTTTCCTATTTCTTGGCATATTAGGTCTCAGAAAGGACAGATCCAGGTGAAAATATGGCCAGCTCAGGCTTGCCCTCTCTTCTGGTGTCCCTTTTGTCTGTTCCAGCTGTATAAAGTTTTTTCAAAGAGCCCAGGAAGGGTCACTTCAAATGTTTTTCAAGTGCAACTCCATTTTCTTTACTTGAAAACATAGGAATGCGAAAGTTCTCAGTAAAACGAATGAATGTCAACTAATGTCTCCTTGAGGAAAAGGCTTCTGTGGGGTGAAGTTTCTTAATAAACCAGAGGACAAGAGATTGGGCCAGAACAGATATATAGGATATAGGTGCCTTGTCCAAACTTAGAAGTTGAACCTTTATTTCCCACCTTCCATGAGATGGTGGATTTATAATTGGATCATTACCTATATGATTCTGTATTCTTCTGTAAAAATCCTTAGGAATGGCATCACTTTTTTGATGTGAAATAAAAGGAAACTCTATCCTCAGTACTATCACAGATCTTGACTATGGTGTGATGTTTTTTCGCCACATGGAATATTTCCAGAGAGTCAAGAAGGGAAGGGCAAATAATGGAGGTTTCCCTATTTTTAGTTCCTGTGCTTCTGAAAAATCTACTGCTTTTGTATGGCACCACTTTAGTCATTCTGGCAGGATGGCTGTGTATTTAACTATTTCTTTAGTATCTTTAGACTTGACAGTGATGATCCCCTGTCATTTCTTAATCAGACCCTTCTAAAAAGTATATGCAATACTTGCTACTCTCAGCTATGTATAATGTAGGATTGTAGCCAATTTTAAAGAGGCATCAAATACCTTTATTAGAAACTCAGTTTATGCAAGTTTCTGGATATATTTTTCATCCAACTTTTGTGAATTGCTGTTCCTGAATTTATAGATGCATTTCACCATCTGGTCTTTTTGCTTACTCTCTCTCTTTGATAGTTCAAAGTATAGATTGGAAATCAATATCTTCCAGCATCTTAAGCAGCAATGACTGATATAAAAGAAACATTTAGCTTGTTAGTGATATCCTTCTCCTCCTTAATTGTTCTGTTGATTCCCTCATGATCCCTCTGGCTAATGTCCTTCTCTTGAGCTTTCTCTCTCTGATGGCTATACAAAACACCATCATTAAAGTCTTTAGCTAATTCCTCTTCAAATTTCTTCTTCACTGTCTTTTAAAGTCCACCTTCTGTTTGGCCTGTCACTTTTGTAAGTGTCATTTGGCTGAATTTCTGTTTGCTAAAGTCTTCTGTTTTGAACATGCTTGGATCAAATTGCCTTTTAAAATACATGTTCATAATATGTTTTTCATGCTTTTTTCCATCTTTCTTGTTTAGCCTCTATTGTTAGCTAACATCGATGCAGTTTGAACTTATCCATCTCCATTCTTTCGACACTAGATGCTTTTTTCATCTTGCTTCTTCCTCCTTTCTTGTAAACTGCACTCTTTTACCTTCCTTTCTACTATCTGATATCCTGCTGCAAAACTTATATCAATTTTGTGTTATATATACTCTCCACATGTGTGTTACTCAGCTCTAAGCACAGTTACGATACCAGCAGTGTTCTGTGGCATGAATTCTTTCTTATACTTTCTTATGCTTTCAACTTACTTGAAGAAGGAAGAGTTTGAAAGATGAACCTTGCCCCAGCTTTCTTTTGACCACTTACACATATGCAGCTGAAGTCACACATGCTTTATTTGATTTATTTCTCTTTGCTTTTCTGTCAACTTTATACCCTCTTTATTTTTCCTATCTAGAATTCATTGCCCCTACCGTTTTCTACTGTCTCTTTATTACTGGGCCTAGTTTTAAATTGAGTGATATACAACTGTACTTTTTTCCTTATTATTTTTTAACAGGAACATTATTACTGCTAATACAAAGAATACTTGGTTTATACAGTTGTTATCACTAACTAATGGGGTCAGTTGTTATCACTGACCCATTTGCATTTGAGCCATCTTTGCTTATGCTCATTGTTTCAAGAAAAAGCTCTACCTTAAAGAGATCTTGTTCTAAAAAACATGACATGAGAAAAAGAAAGAAGAAACAAGCAGATGGGGGAGGTGTGAGGAGAGCAGGGTAATAAGGACTAGGCAGTAGAGGTAGAAGTGTCAAATATGATATTTCTGGTTTTGCAAAGGAATCTTGACAGAAGAAGCAGCCTTAAGGGCTGGGCACTGTGAGCTTCTTTCTAACAGCAGGAGTGAAGGATGCCTTCTTTTACAAGTGGTCACTCTCCACTAAAATTAAAAATGTGTCTATAAGCAGAGGCAGGGAACTGAAATAGCCCAACCAAAAGAAAGAAAATCCTTCTGTATTTTTTTCTGCCTTGCTCCTTTTTACTCTTTTGATGCCATGAGAGGTGTTAGTAATAAAACATCTCAGCAGGTCTGCATTTGGTTCCCTGCTTCACCATGGAGGTGTGTATTGTTTGGCAAGTCACCTTCTGCAATGCATTTTGATATCTAAAGGCTCTTTTCAGAACAATTTAAGTGCTCCTCAGAACCTCAGTAAATGTTTGTCAAAATCTTTAGGAATGAATCTTTCGTTCTTATACTTCAGTTTTCACTGCACAAAGCTAAACTAGCACTGTGATATCTCATAGAATTGTTACACAATAAAAGGTGTAAAGCATTTTGGTTACTATAGTAGTAAAAGCTGAGCTCTGAGAGAAATTTTAGTGGTTCTCATTGAAGATTCATCTCAGGTAGACAAGCATGTTTAATTTGCAATGCTGAAGAAGGAAAAATATAAATCACTGGGAAAAACCTGAAATCTAATCTTAAAGATGCAAAAAAAAGGATATGTTTCCAGACCAGAATGCAATTCTGAGTTCAGAATGTACCCATGTCCTTATGTCACATTTAATCTAGCTAGCAGGAACATTGAAGGCAAGGTCTAGCAACCTGAGTGCATACACAAGATCCCTAGATGGCTTATGCTGTGGCTAACAGCCTGTGCTGTAGTCCATGCTGTTGTATCATCTTGTCATTACTGTTATCAGCTTTGTAAGCTAATTTCTGCAAGCTACAGTATAGTTGTACCTTTATGTTACAGTGCTCATAGGTTCAGGGCAGGGGCAGTGCTCCTTCTCTGTGTAGATAGAGTGCAACTTATGTCTTAATGCTTGCAAGTTTGGAAGAAGGGAGAGACTGCAAATGTTCATCTCCCTCATAAAGATATCTGTCACTGTAGAGGAGGTGCAAGAGTGAAATTGTTGAGAGAAGATTTAACCAACCCGTGTGAGGTAAATCACAGCTAAATTCGGCTGACAGCGTTTTCTTTTCATAAAGATCCCCCCCGGAAGCGTGTGGACTCCCCAATGCTGAACAGGCATGGGAAGCGGCGGCCGGAAAGGAAGTCGATGGAGGTTCTCAGCGTGACAGATGGCGGCTCCCCAGTCCCTGCTCGCAGAGCTATTGAAATGGCACAACATGGACAGAGGTGGGTCTCTGCTTTACCCAGGAGTCCTGCCTGTCTGGGTTTGCTCCCCCCCCCTTTATGTTGTACATACAAAGAAGCTGTGGAGCTTTCCTGTTCGCACCAGCACTCGTTACAACTTCCAAGCACATTTGCAACATGGTCTGGCAGCCAGCTGCGCTTGTGCACACAGGGCCAGGAGTCCTGCCAGGGGCCCGAGGGTTCTGTTTGCTTGCCGCTCTTCCTCAGGAAACCATGTCCTCTGGGCAGGATTCATCTCACCTCTTTTTAGTTGTGGAGAACATAGGCATTCAGTCTAAGCTTGTGATACAGGCTGACTAGGCAGTGGGGGCAGATGAGGGCTTTGGAAGGTCTCAGATACGTATGTCCTGTCAAACAGGATAAATTATTCTCTGCTTGTTCTTCTCTGTCTCCATAGCCTACAACAGGAATCTAGGTAACTATCTTGGATTAGGTTCCTAGCTTTTGGACGCCTGAAGTTAAATGAGATGAACCCCACCCTCCATGTCATCGGAACAGCTTGAATCTAAAAAACCTTGTCCAGACATCTGCAAATGCCTCTGAAATGTGCTGTCAGAGCCAGTGTGCATCTGACCCACATAAATTACCACATGCCTGTAAAGTGATGGAATATATATAATTTTACCTCTTTTCTATCAAAGAAAGTGTCAGTCTTACAGGGAAACAGCAGATGGAAATGGTGTCTCCTTAAAGCAAGTTCTGGGAGAGTAAGTGAACTGTAGAAATTCACTTACGTGAACCATGGACCTTGCTTCCCCAGTCCCTATGACTAGCCTAAGGGAAGTACATGCATTTGTTTTCACACTTGCATGAATCAATCAATATAAAAGAACACTTTACATATATGTATGATGATGCTGATGCTGTAACTTCTGTTTCAGCTTTGATATGCCTTTTTTTTTTCATTCATCTCTTAAGATCTGCTCAAAAAAAGCCTGTTGTGCCCAGAAACTCCCTTTGCTGACTGAGAACTGGGTGAAGAACATGAAGTAATTTCATAGATACTGCAGAGGCCCCTAGAATCGCTGAAAAGTTTTGCTGGCAAATGTTACAGTTCTATCTACAGTGACAAAAAAGTGGTGATTTCCGGAATCTGCTAGGACTTATTTCAGACTGAATATATGGCCTTGAGATACCCTGCCCTAAAGATTTTTTGTTGTAGTGTAGTGTAGTGGAAAGCTGTCTTGAATATGTGATTTTCTTTGGAATGAGGTCTGAGGTAAGGAAGTGTTCAGGACAGGGTGTGCTCTGTGTTCCTCATAGGCCTCAAAGTAGTAAGCATGAACACAACACTGACTCCTTATTCAGCCTGCCGTTTTTAATCTGGTACCTGGTAGATGCATGGGTTGGGAAGCTCCCAGAGCCAGACAGAGGCAAATTACTTTTCCCCACCCCAAGGCTGCCTGTGAGTTGCAGTATTCTGCATCTGTTTACAGGAGGTGTCCAACAGGATGGAACAAACAGGAGGTGTTAGATTTATCACAAAGTTTTCTGAGAGCTGAAGCCTTTTCTTTCAGCTCTCAGCTTTGACTTCGGATTCAAAAGCCTGAAGAGGCAAAGCTGTGTTTTGCTGTCCAAAGTATTTCTTTTGCTTTTATATGTCTCTCTCAATTCTTCACATGAGGAAACAATTGAAGTCAAAAGGTCTGGGTTGAGTTCAGAGCAGAGACATATCCAGGCTACATATCAATAAAAAAGGGCTGTGGCTTAAGGAGGAAGCAAAACCTGCCAGGCACAAAAGAGATACGGGACAATGCATGCCACAACTCAGGAATGGACATAAAGGTGTGATTAAGGGTGGAAAAAGGGATGTAATAACACCATGACGGATGATGATGGCCATGGTAGTGCTTGTTTTTGAAGGGGTTAAAGGGAAGATGTTATTTTACTCCACGTGTGAGCTTCCATAATTCATACCATCCACATGCGCAGATGACAACAGCACATTTTGTGTTGCTGGCAGCACAGTCTTTTATAACATGAACTGGCTTCATTAATGAACACCACTGCATGGGGATTGTCTCGGGACGATGCATTGCTGATGGGGCACCATCTGTCAGAACAGTCAGTAATAAAATGACAAGTGCCTTCCACCAAGAAAGGGGATTTTTAATGACTAGTCTCATATTATATTCCATGAAGTGACCCACTGACAGTGGATTTTACAGCAATAGGGTTTAGATCCCAGAGGGGGATGCTTTTTTAAGATGATTTGGTCTCAAGAGATGACTATTCAGTGCTTTTATCCTACAGTACTAGGAAGGTGGACCATGGAAACAGGTTTCTTATTAAGACACAGATGATTTTTGTAAACATCCAGAGACAAAGAACCATCGCTTCTTTCTTGAGCTGGCAAAGATACACCTCTAACCAGGGGGCAAAACACACCCAAGTGTCTTGTGATTTATTCCTACTGTCCTCTTCCACAGTAGTAAACAGATGTTTGCTTGCATAGAGAGGATTTCTGTTATAACCTCTGTTTTACATGCCTGTGTGATGAACTGCTTTTGGTAACCATGTGGGGGCCCTACAAGGGTCTGGTCTTGGCTTGTTTAGGGCATATCTTTCCACTGAAATTTGAAACTTGGCAGCCTTCAACTCTACAGGCTGAGAAAGCATTAAGTGAAAAACATAGTCCTTCAGTGACTTAGTTTTGAATAGCAGATGAGGGGAACTCAGCACAAAGGATACTTGTTGAGCTTATGGGCTCCCTGAAATGCTTGTGCTGACCTCTTCAAGTGTTTTTCATTGGATCTATCTATATGACAAAATTAGTATGCACAAACTCTAGCCACCCTAAAACTGGTGACTAAGTTTTGTTAGTTCTTGGATTTCCCTGCTAGTTGTCGACTAAATGGCTTCGTAATTATATCTTAATTACTTCTGCTGTTCTGGTGTCCCCACCTCTCAGACTATCTGGTATTTCATTGAAATGTCAAAAGAAAAGAGGTGGTTTCTGAGCTTAGTTTAGCACCAGCTACTTTGTCCCTTGTGCTAAAATCACACAGACTAAGAAGAATTCCATAGGAGCTAGAATCTGTTGGGGATATGCCAGAAATTTTCAGCAGCTTTGCTGTGAGAGTCCAAAAACCATTCTAAAATGGGCTTCGTTAACTATTCATTTTCTTCTAGTTATTTAAGTGGAGAGCTTGCATGAAAGATCAGCTAACATTAGGAAGCAGTGTCCTGTGAAACAGTGAAGCATATTACCAGTGAAACATATTACAGAGAGCTGCCCTTTTGTTAAAGCATAGGGAATTTTGCTTCTAAACTGCAGGGATTCAGACCCAGTATGAAAAAGAAGGGCATTTCTCTATACACTGAGTATAGGGAAGAGAGTTGGGAGTTAAGTGGTAATGGACCCTACAAATTAGAATACAAAATGGATTACCATTCCTCTAAGAGACTCTATGGCCTGATTTTAACCTTTTCCCAGATTGTGCTTAGTTTTGAGGTCTCCTAGAAAAGTTTTGAGTAATGAATGCTTTACAATTTATGCCTTCAGGCGTGTTCTGTTTTCCCTGGACAGTGTGACAAAGTAGATGGTACCTGGGTTTTAAATTGGATAAAGGAGAGCAAGGTTTACAAGTATGCATTGGGGAAGTCATCTCAGACCTCGGAAGTCAGGGGAAGATAATGAACTTCAGCACTGTGTAGGTGTGAGCCGTAGCTGTAAAGTAAAAGGAAAAATTTTTCAGAGCATTGCTTAAAAGGGGGAGGATGGGTTGGGGGGCTGGGTGTCCAGCATTGCTTCAGGTGACTCTCTTTTATAAAAATGTCCACAGTAGTAACTCTGTTTTCTCGCTTTGTTCCTGCCATAGTAAAACAATGTTCAGTAAAAGCCTGGATATCTCTGAAGCCAATCCCAAATTCAACAAAGAAGAAAGGTATAAACACTGACAATATGTTCCTCTCCTCTACCTCACTGCTGAGACCTTAAAGATGCAGTACTTACCTTCTCCGTGTGGGGACAGAGCTGTTCTATTCTCTCTTTAGAGAGAAGCAAAAAGGGTGGTTTTTTACAGCCCCACACCACATATGTTTTTGTGTAGTACCATTCCTCTGAGGCTATCCCCAATGCAGCCTGGGACTGTATCAATGATTTCCCCACAAAAATTTCATCCTACTGCTATTTCTGGTTCAGTTCTGCTGTGAGTGAGGATAACCAGGGTAGAAGATGTATTTGCTAAGACGTCCTTGGGAAGGATTGGAATATAAAACACTAGGAAAGCCCAGAGTGCTCCACTCCCAGCATTAGAAACAGCAGCACAACTGAGTCAGTGACAGCAATGGTAGGAAACTGGAAATTCAGTCTGACAGAGCAAAATATAGAGTACCTATAGGTAGGAGACAAACTCCTTAAGACTACCCAGAGGACACAAGAGGAAAATATGATTGAAGAGAAGTCTTTTTGGAGGATGATTCTAATCTAACAGTTCAAGTGACAGATGGTGAAGAATAGGAAAAAGGGTTGCTCCTGACTGTGAATAGAGGCACAAAGGAAGACGGACAGGCCACCAGATTTAGGGAGTTTAAGTAGACTTATGTGGGTCCATTAACACAAAAAAAAGCTTAGACTTTTGGGAAGGTTTTTAGTGGACATATTATTTCTAAAATTTTGGTCTCGGAGGAAGAGAATTTTTCTCTGTGTTGAAAGCTGGCATTCCAATGGATAACTCCACATCAAAATGTAATCCTTATACATTTTGGACAAATACTTAGCTTACCCAAAGGTTAGGAGTGTGGCATATGATTAAAAAAGGGAGAAGCAATGGCTTCCTTAAAGGAACCTATGACCTTGGCAAACCATTCTTCTTTCTGTTTCCCTTTTTCATAAAAATCTTTCTGTTTAAAGATAAGTGTGGCCTTTAAGCCCCAGGAGACTTGCAGGATGTGTGAGGGACAGCCCCTGTTTTGGCCTTTTGCAGGCTGAGACAGTCTTTTGTAGGCAGTGTTTCAAGTCCTGAACCTGCCATAGTGTA